TATGATCGTAACCCTGTACCCATCTGCAAAAAATTAGGGAAAAGCTTGGCAAATAAATAGCAAAAAATCACCAACCGTCGCAATATCTTTTGTGACAATGTTTGTACATTATATAATTTCCATTTAAGTACGCATGATTGCACACAATAAATTTTGTAATACGAAGGGTGACTAATATACTCGTTAAATTCGGTCGATCAACTTTGTTGCTGCGGCAAAACGTTGATAATATTTTTTTTTTTTTATATCACCTAAAAAATTTCCTTTTATTTTACAACGAATGAAATCGTCGAAACGTAAAGGTTATCCGGATACATTTCTGAGCCAAAGTTAAGAAAATAATTCAGTTTTTATACAAACATTTGTATCACAAAAAAAGAAAAGTAGTTTTTCAATAAATCGGGCGTGATCAAATAGATGTTATTTTTATTTTACTTTATTTTTATTTTTTATTTTACACAATTGTACAAAATTTAAATCCTTGCATTGAATTAGTCGTTTGACACATAATCCTTCTCAATAAAATATATGCACGGGATTGAAGACAAAATAAACGTACCTGAAAAAATTTGAATCGAATAAAAGGTTACACACGGAACTATTAAAATTTAGTAAGACACAAGATAAAGAAGCACCAGAATAAAACTTATGGGCGCACCACATTAGTTATCAATGTAAACAAACGTTTTTATTTGATGTTTTCATTAGTTGATAACATTTATAAAGTTTATTTATTAGACTATAAAAGAAAGTTGTATACCTTTTTAAATCGAATTTTAGAATAAACACAAATTTCTATCTATTTGTATTTATTTTCAGTGAATTTTCAGTTAAAAAGATTTGAATGTTCGATTTCGTTCAAGAATCGAAAAAAAAAAATTTTTTTCTACGAGATTAAAATAACTTACGCTCGACTACTATCTTTAATTATTATTAATAGTTTGCTAGTTCATGACAAGAAAAATTGTTTACTTAATGAAGTCCATCTGAAAAAAGGCAGGAGGTTTCTCCTTATGAATTGTAAAAGCAATACCATCAAGTTTAATTATTTCGCGTTGGTATATCTTTTGTTGATAACCTTTTTTTCTTATTTATTTCTCTAGTAAATACCATTCGATCGATTTTTTTTTTAAAAAAAAAAAAAAAAGTATTTGTTCGATAATTTCTCGCTACCGTGTAGCGAAAATTAATCCTTAAAACACCTATCTTGTTATTCTCCAAACACACATGAGACTAAACACGCCTTTTTCAATAGCCTGCAAAAAACTTTCCGACACAGAAATTCCTTCCAATCCAAGTAACGCACAAATACCTATATGTTCCTGTGATTTTCGAATAAATATTTATGACTGTCCAGAATCATCAATTTTAATAATTTCACAATGGGTATTATTACCATATTGTGCTCTCATAAGTGCAACAGCAGCAGTATGTTTATGGCATTTAATTAAAAAGAAAAATCAACCATTCTTTCTTACTTCGAGAAGAGATAGGGGAAAGTTGAGACCTAGACCACAACATACTTATTTTACTATAGCCATGATTTATTGTCCACGTAAGGATTTGCGCAGATTGAAGGGATTTATTTTTACTTTTACAATTATGTTATTAATTGAAATACTTTGCTTGGCTATTTATAGTTCAGATGCTTCACTCGATTTTATTATTGACGAATTCTTATCCGAACATACTTTGGGCAGAAATTGGTCATTCACTGCCTATGACACTATCAGCTACTATTGCAATATTATATCCATTGAGTATATGTAACTATTGACATTTCATAAATCTCTTGAACAATGACCTTAACACGTCTCTAAATATTTTCTCCTCTCGATTATTCAGTTTATTCGACATCAACTTTTGAAGTAACAAATTTCGCATCACGTTCAATATCGACGTCTAGTGCAATATCAGAGATACCCATAGCGAGACACGCCGTAAGAATCGACATCGTTTGTATTCTTGCCTTTATAACAACGCTTGGCATTTTTTTAACTGTGCCCGCATTAACAGGTTATTACGCTGATATGAGCGATTTTATAAATGCGGACAGATTTTTTAAGATACAATATTTCGCGTGGATAACTTGGGTATCTTTGTATGTTGCATCAATGATGTGGTTTTGGATCAGATTTCTTATTATTGTTGGTGAATTAACTGATCAAAATCAAACTCAAAATCCCGGGTTACAAATCAAACTTGAACAATTGAGAAGGGGTTCTCGTAATGTATATATGCATACCATGATTTTTTTTATAGTTTCTTCCTTTGTTCATCTTTTACTTTAAACTAACTTTAATCAATTGATATACTACCATTAGTTATCACTACCAATATATGGACAAATAATAGCAGGATTAATATATTTAACAGCATTCTTATTATATGGATTATATAATCGTTCAAGTACAATAAATAATTATAGAATTAATTTAATATATATGAGCATTTGGAATTTTTTGATTCCATTCATAATGCACATAACACAATGGATAATGATTTATAATATTTACAAAGTCACTAATACCTCACAAAATATCCCAAAGAGATTATCTACCAGGAATTTTTATAATAATTCACGCGCAGGGGGTGGACAGAATGTGAACGAAACGACCATTAATCAAGTGAATGAAGGAAGGAATAATAAGAGAGAAAAAAGGATAACCATAATTAATGTTAGCGAAGGAAAAAGGAATGTTGATGCTTTAGATATGTCTCCTACGTCGGAATTTATTCGAACTCCATTAAATAAAACAATTGATGAAGAGGAAATATTTGATATTGATATTAGTGATATTAGCACACCAAGAGAGGATTTCATGATAGATTCTGGCCATTATAGTTCGGGAATGGTTTTCAATAGAGATTCGGGAAGAGTCAGCCTCTCGAGTGTTAGTTTTACTAAAAATAGGAAATCGGATACATTTTTACATCCTTTGCATGAAAATGTCGTAATCGGAATGAGCAATAGATATTCTGGTCATTCCATACTTTCGGAAACTTTGACGCTAAACAATAATGGTTCGATAAATAACACCATCAACAATACTATTCTAACTACTCCTACTTCTATGAATTTTAATTCCAACATTTCGTCGTCTTCGACGTCAGTACCATATCCAATTAGTGAGAACATGAGTTTTATTAGTAACAGGACTAGTAATGAGATTTCAAGCAATAATGACAATGTTCTTAGTAGTGCTCAAAGAAAAGAATGGCTGGATCAGCGACCTGTTTCTCTCAATCGTTCCAATAAATAAATTTTAGTTTTGTGAGTTATATATTAATTATTCCTGTTAGTAAAAAAATTAAGTTATTATGTATGAGTAAGAAAGTTGTTAAAAAAAGTATATATAAATAATTAAAATAAAATCAATTACTGGTGGTATGACATTATTGTCACGTTTAGTTAAAATCACGACAGGGATGGATTTTTTTTTTTTTAAAATTGATTTGCTTTCACCAATACAATTATTTTTTTTTTTTTTTTTTTTTGCAAAATACGTTTGGGATCATTATAAAGGAAAATGCATTTACGATTTAATAATTACTTACATTCTTTCTTTTCATTGAAAAAAAAGACGATTTTTGCCAATTATTGTTAGTAAATAAGAAAATATAAGAAATTGACAAAAAAATTGAATAAAAATAAAATTTATTAATACTAATTAAGTACTAACTAGGAAAGATACAAAATTCAACCTTTTATTCTAAACATTTTTTTTAAAAAAATTGGATAAAATTATTACAACTTTGTATAGATATTTTTTTTTTTTTTTTTGCACAATTTATTAATTAACAGATAAAAGATAAATTAATATTTTCTTTGGGAATGCAAATATAAATTAAACCTGTTACCGTGAGACATATTCGAATTATTTTTTTTATATTTATTTTTATTTTGGATGTCCGACGTTTTCTGGACATTTTCGCATATGCACGTTCTTTTTAATTTAGATTCCTCTGGCTTATAAAATATTACTTTACATATCCTTATTTTCAAAATCAAAGAGAAACGGAGTGAAGGTCCAATGATCATAATTTTTCTTTGAAATTATACAAACATAAGCATTAACAGTTAGGCTATAATTGCAGAATATTAGCTTGTAACAACAGACAAGAACTTCAATTTAGTTAATAAAAATTCATCATGTTTATTTAGAAGTTTATTTTAACATTTACATACAGACTTGACGCGTAAGACGTGTAAATATTGATGATAAATCATAAACGTTAAAATTACGATCCCCCAAAACATAATATTTACTCTAATAGAAATATAGCATATGTAAAGTACAAAATTAAAATAAATTTAAGTTATAATCGTAAAAATCAAATATGAAAAAATAAAATAAAAAAATTATGCTGCTTGGAACCGTCGATATTTAATCTCATTTGAGAATCCTTTCATTGGAACTCAAATTGACCTTCAATTTCTCAACTTCCTGAGTTAACTTCCCAATATCTACCTGACCTTTTCTTGATGTATCATCTGACTTCCCGACATCTACCTGACCTTCATCATTTGCAAGGATTATTTCGGCAGACTTTCCCTTTTTATCGTCCCCCCATTATTATTTTTAAATTTCCAAATTGAATATTCATCATAAGTTAATCTTTTAAAAGCATTTTTAATAAATTGAAAATCGTATCTTGATCGACTATTCTACTTTTATGCTAATTTTTCAAAATTTATTGATTGACCGATATAATAAATATATTTTGGATCTGGTTCTTAAGGTCAAAGATGGAATTGACATAAACTTCATAATCGGCTATTTGGTTTGCCTTACACTTTAATAAAGCTTGTCTACCTTTAATTACTGCTTCTTCATAAACACTACTAGAGTCGACAGGAAATAAATGAATAAAAATGTCAAATAACAATTTTAACAATTTTAACCATAAATTATAAAAACCTACCCCATGAAAGCATTCAACATATTTTGTAAAAATAATCACAATAAATATGCTAGCCATAAAAGTAAATGCTTTGACAAATCCAAGGCATTTTTATGAGTTATCATAGTAATGAAAAGAGCTCCTATTTTTTCCTATTTCAGAATATAATTTTCTTTTGTGCTTAATCTAAAACGGATGCAAAGCTTTTTTTTATACATTCCTTTACTTTAAAAACCCATTTGTTTCATGGCACGATCTTCAAAACACTTGCAATATATACTCTTATCGGGTTAGTGTTTGCTTGCTGAATTTGGAAAAAAGATCCTTCAGAATTACTATGTGGTACACCGTATACCGTATACCTACGGGTAGTAGATTAGCTGTACCTGTAAGCTTTTCGCCACAACCCACCCCGCGTATTGAGACTCGTTAAATAGAAAAATTATTCCCTTGTGAATCGTAATTGAGTATGGCTGAAGATAAATTTTGACTGAGCAAAATGGCCATGTCATTTTTAGTATAGTTTACGGTCTACTATCCCGATGTACGAACCTTCTGATTGCCTTATTTATACATTTTCAGAAATCAATATGCATATTAGGTTAATTAAACAAGATACTGACTTTAAAAAAGATCTAGACTAAACAATACGTATATCATTTTTTTCTATATATTTTTTCGATGAAAAAAAAGAACAAAGGCGTAACAAAGGACGATAGAGGAAATCTACTATATAGTACTCGTGTAAAATAAATGATGAAAAAAATATCTTCTAACAGGACAATTATTATTTTCTTTTTTTTTTTCCCATGACTAAAAATCTCATCTATAAAAAGCTTTTACACGTTCCTTAACAATTCCCTCATAAACGAAAGAATGTGCAATGACACAATGGGTGTCATCATGGATGTGAACCCTGTGGAACAATCTGTCTGGGTCGCATTTCTATCAGAGGGTTGCTGATTGATGTGGATGTTAGCAAGCAGACTCATTACTTCGAGGTGTATGAAAATAATTGCTACAGTACCAATTTCTGTTACAAAACATTTTCGCCCTCACTGCCCATAAGACACAGAGATTGACGTTACCAAGGCTTAGACGAAACATTTTTTCTCCTGGCCAAGCCTACATCGCTCTTAGCAGGTGTTCTACTTGAAACAACATTAAGATATCACACCTTGACCCGTCAGCATTTATGGTCGACCAGTATATGGTTGTGGATTACCAAAGGCTGAACAATGTGGCGTTGACAAGTCCATATTGAGAGACTATCGAGAGGTAACTCTTTATCGGGTTTCTTGCTTATGTTTACCTCAACATTATTTTTTATGATTTTAATCATTATTTGATATTTTGTATTATGATTGGCTGTTAATGACAAAACGCATTTCTGTTAAAAGGGTAATTAGGAAAAAACTTATCGGTAGCTATTTTTCTCTTGCATTATCACTTTGTGCATAGTTACATACTGATGACGTGCAACACTATAACGTCACCTCTGATCCTTTTTTTTGGCAACCCGTTAAACTGTTAACATTACACCCGCTGCATCGTTATGAGTTATTACGACGTTACATAAAATGAAATCGATGATCGCGTGGCGTGAATATTAGGAATAAAATGTACTAGCTAGTTAATATATATATTCGGATTATAAATAGCATTTTCCTAATATCGTAATAAAAAGGTTTTTTTGGTAGCGATTTGATTATCAGATAATAATAATTAACAATAAAATTTTTCAGGTTGATTGATCAAAAATTCTCGATTTATATATAAAGATATTAATAAGAAAATATATATAAAAGAACAATTTTTTCAAGAGTAAATTTTTTATAAAATTATTTGCATAGATCACTTTCAGTTTCATTTACTTGGTTCAAGTGAGATTATTTCAGATTATATTATAGAATCTGATGCCAGTTATGATAAAGCTTTAATTTCCTCTATTATTTTTTGCCAATTGAATTGTCAATCTCAAATTACAAATATTCATCCAAAATCAGATCATTGGTATTCAAATATTTTATTCAACTATGATGACATTAGATTCCACTGAACTTTACGAATGAAAAATCAGTATTTCGGATGTTAGTTAATAAAATACAAAATCATGATACTTTTAAAGATATTTCACAAAGATAACAAAGTCCAGTAGAAAAATAACTTGCCGTAATTTTATATAAATTAGGCAAAAAAGCAACAAATTGGAATATTGTTCTAAATTTAGAATAGCAGAGGATACTGTTTCTTTATTTACATCTAGAGTTGTTACAGCATTTAAATCTTTAAAAGAAGAAGTCATTGTTTTGCCTCATGAGGATTATCATTAAAAAGTTCATAAAGGTTTTAAGAAAATGCATGGCTTTCCTAATATAATTAGTATGCTAGATGGATCTCATATGAATTTATTCAAAGCTCCTAGTTAAAAAAATAAGGATATTTATTTTACACGAAAATGTCATTATGCGATTCATCTTCAAGCCGTTGTAGATTATCAAGGAATTTTTACAAACTATGATAAAGAGAGGACACAGATAAAACTAATGAGATAGGCGATAGAATAATCTCGTTCAACAAGAATAATTGATTTTAACAAAATATGGTTTGTTCTGGTTTGGTACATCACATCATGATCTAACAGACCAACTTTCGGAATACTTCACACAATTATTTAGAATTAAATTATTTGGAAATATAACTTTTCTCATTCAATTGCTTCAAATATATAATTTAATGTCCAAATGTCATTCTACAGACCCCCGCCAAAAGTCTCTGAACGCCATCTTTCAGGGGCTATTTCATACCGATTACGTCGCGTGACTGCATA